ACGAGGAGAAGAAGTACACGTTGAAGGGGGAAGGTAATGGCATCCCTGTCGCGTTCCGACTTCGGCCCAACTCCTGCTGATTTGGTCCAGAGAACCCGTGCCCGGCCACCTGTGGCTTCCCTCTGCCGCCCTCCACTGGCCGGAGCAGGCCCTGCCCCTTCCTTCACCCTCTGAGGGTGGACCTTGGCCTCAGGCAGGGCAGGAGGGGGCCGGCTGGGCCCCTGTGTCAGTAACCGCAATGCCCCCGGGGTTTGCCCGCACTCATGGAAGCCTGGTCCGTGGGGTGCCTGGGACTGCTCAGCGTTCTTTCCCCCAAATCCGAGAGAGAGAGACTCCGTGCTCAGCTTCCAGACTCCCCTGCTCAGGGGCTGGGCCCCCGACTCCCTGGTGGGCCCCGGGGAGAGGGGGCGGGGCTGGGGGTGGTCCCTTCACTCGTCTTCTCCACCACAGCTCCCGACTATGACAGAAGCCAGTGGCTGAGTGAGAAGTTCAAGCTGGGCCTGGACTTCCCCAATGTAGGTGCGGGGAGTGGGGGGCGGTGGGCGTGGGGAACCTGCCTCTACTCTGAGGCTCCTTCCCGGCTTAGACCGAGGCTTTGGGACCCAGGGCCTCTGCTCAGCCCCCCAGCTCCCTGGTTCTTGTCGCTGCTTTCCCCACGATGCTCTGTGTGCAGCTCATTCCTTCATGTGACAGACACTGGGCCCAGGTTTCATCTCTGCCCCCATGCAGGGAGGGGCTTCAGGGTGGTCCATGGCCTCTTGACCTGCCTCTGTCCCCCCGCAGCTGCCCTACCTGATTGACGGGGCTCACAAGGTCACCCAGAGCAACGCCATCCTTCGCTACCTTGCCCGCAAGCACAACCTCTGTGAGTGCGGCTGGGGTGGGTGCAGGGGGACGGGTGGCCCTGGCCCTGGGCTGGTGGGGTGGGAGGCTGAGGGGGAGCCCCTGTTGTGTCAACAGGTGGGGAGACGGAAGAGGAGAAGATCCGCATGGACATGTTGGAGAACGAGGTGATGGACCTCCGGATGTTCCACATCAGGACCTGCTACAGCCCTGACTTTGTGAGTCCCCTCCCGGAGGGCTGGGCTGCGTAGGTGTTGGAGGCTGGACTTTTGTGTCCGCTCCGTGCATGTCCTGTCTGCCATTGAAGTCCTTGGAGCTTCTGATCCTCCACGCTGGTCCCTGTCCTGTCAGCAGAGTGGCCCTCAGGACCCCTAATGCCTCTAATGAAATCTCTGACTCAGTTCCCCTCAATCTTCGCACAGAGTGCAGACTCCCGCGGTCGAGGTTTAGTTCCTACCGGTGTGTGCAGCTCCTTAGCCCACCCGCCTCCTTGACACCTTTGGGCATCAGCACACTTTCCCAGGAGGCAGCGTGGGGCACCCACAGGGCCTGCGTGCCCCTCACTCCTTCCTTTCAGTCTCTCAGGTTCTCCCCGTCTGTCCAGAAAGTGCTCACGGGTCCTTCTGTCACCCACCAGCTGGCACTTATTTTTATTTATTTCTTTATCCTCACCCGAGGATATTTTCCCATTGATTTTGAGAGAGAGTGGAAGGGAGAGGGAGAGACAGAGAGAAACACAGATGTGAGAGCGGCCCATCCATTGGTTGCCTCCCGCATGCCCTGACCAGGGCCGGCAGCCTACAACCCAGGTATGTGCTCTTGACGGGAATCGAAGCCAGGACCTTCAGTCCCCAGGTGGACGCTCTATCCACAGAGCCAAAGGGCTGGGGCACCAGTTGGAACGTATCGTTCCTGCCCCTGGGCCATTTTAGCTCTTTGCTTCTTTCAATCTGCCCAACGTCGGAGTCCAGGCTGTGCAGGTTCTCCGGCGCCTGGGTCTGGCCCAGGCAGGGTGTGGAGATGAGAGGAGACAGGGTCAGGCACAGGCTGGTATCTCTCTGTGCTTCCCAGCTGCCTGTCCCAGCGGGAGGTGGTACCCAGCAGGAGTGCAATGACCACAGGTTGGATTAAATTATAACCTGGGCACTGACCCAGGTGCAGCTGAGGACATGGCTGCCCACCGTGGCAGCTGGGGCACAGCCCCGGGAGGCCTGCCCTCTGCCCAGGGAGTCCCTGGCGCGGGTGGTGACCGCCGTTTTGTGCCTCAGGAGAAGCAGAAGCCCGAGTTTTTGAAGGTGCTCCCTGAAAAGCTGAAGCTCTTCTCAGAGTTCCTGGGCAAGAAGTCTTGGTTTGCAGGGGACAAGGTACGGGGAAGGCTTTGGGGAGGGGGAGTGGACATGCTCCCTGTTTCAGAGTTTGGTGCCCATTCACCCTGTGCCTGCCCGCAGCTCACCTACGTGGACTTCCTGGCCTATGACCTGCTGGGCGTGCTGCGCATGTTTGAGCCCAAGTGCCTAGACGCGTTCCCGAACCTGAAGGACTTCTTGGGTCGCTTTGAGGTGAACCCACCGATCCTCCTACTGTTTTGTGTGTTTTGTCTCCTTCGTTCCCCTGACGCTTCTCTTGTCCTGGAGCTCAAATGAGGCTTAACTGGCATTCAGGGAGGACTAGCTTAATGCCAGGATCTGTGCTTAGTGTGATGCTAACAGTTGGTGAAATGTAATCTTTCAGACATTCCTACATGGGAACATTTTTCACGTCCATGTTATGAAATGGAACTGAAAGGGTGGGTCGTTTGCTCAAGGTCACAGAGCCAGTCCACTGGGTCACAGCCCCGGCACTAGTGCGGGGCTCCCAGTCGGCGGGGGCTTCCATGGGCAGCAGGCAGAGGCCCCCCTTTCCTGTGCCGGGAAGGCGAGCTCAGGCCCTCCTCCAGCCTGCATGTCGCAGCTCCGGACTTTGTGGAGGAAGCAGAACTTTCCAGAGTGTGTATGTAGGGAATGAGTAGAGCTGGGATGCGGTGGGGGTGACATGACGTACCAAAGACAGTGTTTCCTCCCTGTCTCCAGACAGCTCTGCAGCCTGGGGTGCCCTCTGGGCAGTGCTGAGATCTCCGGGCTGTCGGTGCTGGGATCTGAGTGCACATGTGGGGGCCCCTGCAGAAGCAGGTTTTTGTTGTTAACTCTCACCCTAGGATAGTTTTTCCATTGAATTTTAGAGAGGGTGGGACGGAGGGAGAGAGAGAGAGAGAGAGAGAGAGAGAAACATTCATGTGAGAGAGGCACATTGATTGGTTGCACCCTGACCGGGGCTGGGGATCAAACCTGCAACCCAGGTACATGCCCTTGACTGGGAATGGAATCCGAGACCCTTCGGGATGTGGGCCGACGCTCTAACCACTGAGCACACCAGCCAGGCAGACAGATTTCATCCTCACGTCCTCTGTGGGCCCTTCCCTTCCCTAACTGTCTCCTTTTCCTTCTTTCCAATGACCCAGGACACTGTCTCGGAGATGAGGTGGTACATTGACTTTCAGTCGTATTCACGGACGTTCCCCGTCCCCCTCCTGGGTGCAAGAGTCCCCGCTGTGTGGTCCTGCGGTCCCACGTGGGTGGTGGGGGTGCAGGGCCTGAACTTCACCTCACAGCTCATCATCCGTTACCTTAGCCAACTCACAGATGAACAGGGTCGGCTTCATCACAGATGTGGGAGCTTGAGGCATCCTTAGGCCCAGACTTTTCAGCTCACAGTCTGTTCCCCTTTCCCCTCCCCATCAATAGATCTGCTTTGTCAGCCAGTTCCCATCGCCTCCCAGGAGGCGGCGTGGGGCACCCACAGGGTCTGTGGGCCCCTCACTCCTTCCTTTCAGTCTCTCAGGTTCTCCCCGTCTGTCCAGAAAGTGCTCACGGGTCCTTCTGTCACCCACCAGCTGGCACTTATTTTTTATTTCTTTATCCTTTGTGTGTTTTGTCTCCTTTTGACTCTGGTTCGGGTCCAGGGCCATCAGCCTTGGATATTATGCAAGAGCCGGTGGACTGACTGGCTGGGAGGGATGGGGCACAGCTGTGGGCTGCAGCCGCCGCCTGTGGGGGCCAGGCCTTGGTTACGGGCAGTTCCAGGCCCTTCGAATCCTGTAGAAGTTACTGGACACGCTCTGTCTTGGGAACTTGGTGCTCACACACACCGTGTGTCCAAGGCCTGGTTGGCTGCAGGTGGACAGGGATGAGGCAGGTCGGGGCCCAGTGAGATTGGGCTCAGGAACCAGGCCAAGCAGCTGGACTTTCTCCTTTGAGGGGACTGGTAGGGCCCGGCTCTGCTGCTCCACACCCTCCTATCAGCTTTCACCCCCGTTTTGCTGAGTCATGGGTGAGCCCTGGCCTGCTCTGCAAGCTGCACAGGCACATTCTGAGCCCTTTGTTCTGCCTGGGGTCCCTCCTGGGCCCGGGAATCGGGAGCCTCCCTGTGAGAAAGGAGACAGTCTGTACAGACGGGGAGGGCCAAGGCCTCCTGTGTGGGCGGGAGGAAGGGAGGAAGGGAGAGCAGCAGAGCACAGGGTGGGAGGGAGAGCCAGGCTGCCTTCCAGCCCTCCCCCCCTATAGCTGTGTGAGCGTTTGGCAGGGGCTTCAGCGCTGTGTGCCTCAGTTTCCCTCCTGATAAACGGTGAGAGCAGAACCTATCCTGTAGGCAGTTGTGTGGAGGCTGTAAACCTGTTTCACAATCTCTGATGGCTATAAGACCCCTGGCACAGTGTAGAGTAACTAACTGTGACTAAGAAAACACGGTTACAGGAAATTGCAAGCGTTAACTTGGCAGAACTGCCAAGGAAGCCTTGCCAGGATCCTGAACTTGGAGCGTCTGGAGTGGGGCTGGGTGAGCCCAGCAGACCCTGAGGTCTGGCCTTCTTCCCTCCCTCCCCAGGGCCTGAAGAAGATCGCCGCCTACATGAAGACCGGCCGCTTCCTCCCCACACCCGTGTACTCCAAGGCTGCCATGTGGGGCAACAAGTAGTGCCCGTAAGTGTAGGACGAGGGAGCGAGGAGTACCAGAGCCTGCAGGGCAGCTGGGCGTTCTGCGTTCTTTCTGCTTCTTCCCTCCCCCGCACATGCCCATTGGCCCTTGTCTGCTCCCAACCGCGTGGTCCCCCCCTGCCTGCCTGAGCCCCAGCAAAGCCTGGTCATACCTGCTTGTCTTGTCATTCCCTCCTGGCCACTGGACTCAGGACGGACTGTGCTGGTGTTTGGGGGTGTCCATTTCCCCCCTGTTGTCCGCAGTGGCTGGGTGTAGGGATGTAAGTGTGGGGTGATGGCAGGTAGGATTGTAAGGTTTCTTGCTCATTTCTGTCTTCATGTTCCATGTGCCTCAGCCTGGGGTCTGCATTTGTGGAGTGCCTCCTGTCAGCCTGCGGGACTCAGTGTCACGGTCCGGGGGCCCTTGGGGTGGGGAAGGGGGTTGAGCCGTCCGCTGCTGGTGTGGGATCCGAGTGGCCTACCTTCTGTCACCTTTCCCAGAAGTGTTCCTTGCCCTATACCCTTCCTCCGTGCTCTTACGACATATCTCAATAAAACGCACCCCACTGCATTGTGATTGCCGTTTTACTTGCTCTCCGACTCGATCGGAAATTCATTGAGGATCCACGTGTTATTGGACTTTTTACCTCTGACATCGATCACACTGCCTGAACACTTACTCAACGAAAGTTAGAAATTTGATCTCTAATAAGACCCTGGCAAACCCTACAACCATTGTTGGGATGAGCGCTCTGGATATAGTTCATCTCAGCCGCCAGAGGCACAGAAGGAAGAACCGAAGACTTTAAATGCACGGGCCTGGGAGAAGGCGCCTGAGCTCTTTCTAATGCAGTGGTTCTCAACCTTGGCTGCACATTAGAATCACCTGGGAATCTTTTTAAAATCCTGATTTCTGGGCCTCATCCTCCGGAAATTCTGTTTCTTTGTTACTAATGTTGTGGCTCCACCCCGTAACAAACTCGCAACCGGAGGAGCTCTGAAATGTCTTGTTGGGCATCCGTCCCGGTGATCTCTGCCTGCAACTGTACTTCTTGCAGTTACGTAAATAAAAAGGGAGCCATGGGAATCACGTGCCAGGTCATGAAGAAATCAATGATTAACTTAAAAAGATAAAGCTGGTCAGATAAAAGCTCAGCAAAGCTAACCGAAGTTTACGAAGTGGGTAAGATAAAAGTTAAACCAAAAGCTTGTTAAACTTTACTTAAGCAGGGAGGGGTAAGGATGAAAAAGAGAAAGAAATGGAAATTAGGAGTGACACTACGATAAAAGATAAGCAGATTAAAAGATAAAAGATTTATTAACGTAATGAAAATGTTAAATCCGAGTAAAACAGTTGTAGGTCCAGAACAGGGGCTGGCACATGTTCTCTGGAGAGGCCTAGATAGTAAATATTTTTGGCTTTTTGGCTTTCTGGCTCATGTGGTCTCTGTCAATTACTCACTCATTGTAGTGTGAAAGCCAACATCACCGATACAGAAGTGAATGGGTGGGCCCGGGTTCCAACACAGATGGCCTGCTTGCCGACTCCTGATCTAGAAGTGCAGATGAAAAGGAATACCTATATTAAAGTCTAAATATTAGCTCTGAAATGTAAAAGAACAAAAGAACTCAATCCTTAACAAAGAGGGAAGAGCCCTGGGCGGCGTGGCTTGACTGAGCATCCTCCCATGCACTGAGGTCGCCGGTGGGTTCCTGGTCAGGGCACATGCCCAGGTTGCAGGCTCGATCCTTAGTCGGGGGCGTGCAAGAGGCAGCAAATCTATGTTTCACTCTCTCCCTCTCCCGCCCTCTCTAAAAATCAATTTTTAAATCTTAAAAAAAAGAAAAGAGGGAAGATGTGGTAACGAAGGAAACGGTCACAAATGAAAACTATTTGCTAAACATTGTGGTCAAAATGACAAAAGCTAAGTATTTTAAAGTGCGGGGCAGAAACAGTAGAGTGTATGGACTTCACACGGTTGGGGCTGCGGGCATGACACCAGGTGTTAGACCGTGGGGTGGGGGGTGGGAGGTGTCAGACCAGATCTGGGTGCAGCAACCTCGGTACTTGAGTTCTGGCTAGGAAATCACTCAGAACCAAGACTCAAACTACGAAAGAACATTTATTTATAAAATCACAGAGGTGGAAGCAGTAATTCGGAAGAAATGGGCGTAGGAAACAAGGCAAAGGAAGGGCCCTTGGGGCTTGGGAGTGGGGAAGGTAAAGGTAACTTGCCTGGAGGAAGGGGAGGGGGAGGGGAGAGGCCCTGGGGTGCTCCTGGGAGAGGGTGCTGGGTCCTGTCCTAAGGTTTTTAGGGGGGGGGGGTCCCAGGGGAAGATCACAATAGAATATTCCGCAGCTTTCCAGGTGGGTCCTCTCAGGGTCTAAGTCTCCACTCATGGATTGGTCCACGCCCTGGCAGGGGGGTCATTATCCAATGCAGCTGGTCCTGAGGTCAGCCCTGGGGTCACTAGTCTGATTTTACTGCTTTTCTGGGGCTGGAGCTGAAATATAACTGAGGCCTAGAGGTTATCTCTAGGGAAGAAAGGTCAGGGGTCCAAACCGCAGGGCCAGCGATGTGCTGGGGAGCAAAGGTCGCCCCCAGAGGTCCCACCTGCAATGGTCCATTGCTAGACACCCGGGGCTTTCGCCCTGGAGGCCTGTGCCTGGTCCATCGTCCTAGCTCTGCTCACGTCTACCCCGAAACGGAGGCAACTAAAAGGTGATTTGATTGTGGCTGGACCCGGCAGAGGTCTCAGGACTTGGGGTTCTTTGGTGCCTGGTGACAGTGCTCAGATGTCGTTGAGGGTGTATCCCCTTCTAGAATGGGGACACAAGCCACACTGAGAAGGGGGCACTGGTGTCCCCCGCGTGGGTCTGTGATCTCCTGTGTTAATGACAAGCTCCCTGCCTAGGGTTCCTCCGCTGCTATCGTAGTAGCAGAGAAAGGCAAAGCTGATGGAGGCCTCAAGACAGCAGCTTCTAGAAAAGGAAGTTTGTTCTTCTTTCAGGTTCCACCGCCAAGACTCCGAGTGTTATGGGCGGTGAGCCAGACACGAGCAGAGCAAGGAGAGAAACTCTCCAGGCACAGACCTCGCCAGGGCCGAAAGCCCGGCTGCCTAGCAGGAGGCAAAACTGGAAAAACAAGACTCACACCCCCGGGGTGACCTTTCCTCCCCTAGCTCATCGCTTGGACACCCTGACTTTTTCCTCCCTAACGGTAACATCTGGGCCTCAGTTGTATTCCAGCTCCGGGCCCAGAAAAGCAAAAAAACCAAGTAAATGGCTGCCTCAGGCCCAGCTGCATTGACTAATGACCCCTGCCCTGCACCGACCAATCGGGAGACCATGACCCCGAAAAAGCACACCTGCGAAGCTGCTGAATCTTCTCTTAGACCCTCCCTGGGCCTCCCCTAAGGTTTCCACCTGCAGGAAAGAGATAAATACGCTCAGGATGAAGGGCCCAGCGCACGCATGCTCTCCCTCTGAGGAGTTCGCCCCGGCTATTCCCCCACAGGCACGTATCGCCTAACCTCTAAGGGACTCCACGAGACCTGCAACCAGGGGAGCATTGGGCAGCATCAGCTCGTCCTGGGAAACCCCCCTGAGCCTGTCTCCAAGGCCCCCTTTTCTCTGACTTTCCAGCCAGCCAAAGCGGCCCCACCTCGGCGTTCCTGTTGCCTCTTCTAAGCCCTTCCTCTGTCACTGTCCTAAGTATAAATTCTTACTTTCCTACACTCTGTCTCTGGATTGAAATCTTTCCTTCAAAAAGACAAAGCCCTACCTGGTTTGGGTCAGAGATAGATCATCGGCCTACGGACTGAAGGGTCCTGGGTTTGATTCCAGTCAAGGGCACATGCCCGGATTGCGGGCTTGATTCCCAATAGGAGGCCTGCAGGAGGCAGCCGATCAATGATTCTCTCTTCTCTCTCATCGTCGATGTTTCTATCTCTCTCTCCCTCTCCCTTCCTCTCTGAAATCAGTAAAAATATACATTTTTTTAAAAAAAGACAAGAACAGCCCCAGCCAGTTTGGCTCAGTGTCGGCCCGTGGGCTGAAGAGTCCCGGGGTTGAGTCCTGTCAAAGGCTTGTACATTGGTTGCAGGCTTGACCCCCGGCCCTGGTTGGGTGGTGCAGAAGGCAACCAATTGATGTGTCTCTCTCATATTAATATTTCTCTGTCTCTCCCCCTCCCTTCCACTCTCTCTAAAGAAAATTAATGGGGAAAATATCCTCAGGTGAGGATTAAAAAAAAGAAAGAAAGAAAGAGACAAGAACTAAGGTCTCACAGTCTCCCCGGCAACAAAGGCTGTTGGGCAGCCCTGGTCCCTGAAGTTACACGGGACGAGGCCCCTTCCTTCCTTCTTGTGGCTCTTATGTCTCACAGGGTGTTTCCCGTCTCTGGTGGAAGCTGTGTCATGAGCCTGGGAAGGAAACTAGAGGAAAAACCCGTGGAAACAGTGTGCTCTTTGCAAGTGAGGCCAGAGTTGCATAAGTCACAGTCGTTCAGTCTGTTCGTGAGGTTCCCACGTGTGGTTCCACGTGGACACAGGGGTAGACCCACCTTTCAAAAGAATGCATTTAGGTGGCCAGCTGCAGCCCCTCCCGCACCCAGAGAAGGTATAAAAATTAAGCCCCAGGTTAGAGGAGACCTTGGAGTTAAGCCAGCAGCTTAAGCCTGTAGGATAGAGGCTAAGGTATTCAAGATAAGATCTTATTCTCAGATACACCCCAGGGGAGGGGCAAATCACTTCCTTGTTGCTGAAACAGGAAAAGCAGAATCCCTGGGGGGCCTGGGGACTGGCCAGGGAGGCTGGGCAGCCAGGAGGTGCGCCTACCTGCTTGTTGGGAACAGACACCCACTGGAGGTCCTCCCCTGACACGTGGTAATGGGGTGTGAGTGCCTCACCACTGCTGCCTCTGAAATCCTGACCCTCACCAGAAAACCAATTCCCAGGGCCCGCTCCTTTAAGACCGAAGTGCAGCACCCTTGTGTGCAATTCAGGAATTCAGAGCCTGCAGGCCTGTGCCTGAGCCACGGGGAGGAGAGGCAGCACAGGTGAATTTAGGTGAATTTAGGTGAATTAGTGAGGATTACGTTCTGCTGGGTGTGGGTACGGCTGAATAATAACAGACGCCTAAATAGGACAGATGCTTATTTCTCTTGTAAGGACAGATCTGAAGGTGGACAGTTAGGCACCGGTAATGCGGGCTCTATAGGAGCCTTAAGGACTCGGCTTCTGAACTGCCTGCTCCCTGTGGGGAACATACAGGTTGGGATTTTGGAAATGACAGGCTAAAAGCATAATGTGGATGACCCTCAATTCGTCCGACAGAAGATGCTGAGGGAAGGGGAGTGGGAAAAGGGAAAAGGTGGTGAGCTCTGGGATGTAGTAGGAAGCAGCCTGCACGCAGACTTGCAGAGAAACTGTCTTGCATTTATTTGCTAAGCTGATGGGGTGCCCTCCTTTGGTGAGATGATTCAGAAGTGAAGTTGGGAAATAAGACTCTTCTTTTTATTGACATCAGCTGATCTCTGGGTTGGCTCTTGTCTCCGTCCCTCTGGTGACCGCGCTTTCAGGTTGTTAGCCGCTGTCTTTCTAACTCCTGCGGCTTCATGGAGAGACCTTTATTGATGACGGACACAGAGACACCTGCCGGCTGCCGCCTGGTAACTCAGGACTTGGAAGCAGAGAAGAGGAGGGGCGGGTCCTGATGGACCCCAACTCCTTCTGTAAATGCCGATGGCCATCCTCCTCCTTTAGCAGACCTGGATGCTGCCACTTTGTGGGGTAGCCCCAACAGCCCCCCGATAAAGCAGAGTCCTGTCCGAAAGGCCCAGCTTCCGTGGCTCGTCCCGTTTGAAACAAACTTTGGAAACGTTATCCCGCAGAAGATACAGTACAGACCTATCCTCATGTCCTCAGACGTCTACCACGACACACGTGGTCCTGTGGGTGCATTTCCATCCCTCCGCACCCTGGGGACTCGCCCTTCCCATGGCTTCCGCTTGGCCCTCTATCCCCACGTGGGGCCACACAGCAGCACCTGCTCACTTGAAATCCAATCACACACGCATTCATTTAATCTCTTGTTCTGGATTTATTATTTTTTTCCACAAGGAAAAAGGATTTAATTCTACAGATTTACCAGCCAACACAAAATAGAAACGAAATGTGGAGAACGAGGCCAGCAGTTCAACTCGAGGCCACGTCACCGCAGCCCGGGCCCCAGCAGCCCGTCATTCGGGCAGGACCGGGTCTGACCCACAGGCTCCCACTGCTCCCTCTGCTGCTCCCGCAGCCTGCCCTCCCACTCCCGCTCCCTTTGCATTGGCTCCAGGCGGCCCCTCTCTCTCCTGGAGGCCCTCTCGCCATCTCCAGGGGGCTCTGCCTCTCCCACTCCCGGGACCCAGCGTCATCCTGCTCCTCTCGCTGCCACTTCCGGCACCCGTGCTCCCTCTCCTTCTCCTTCACTCAGGTGTGCTTGCCCCCTTCAGCATTGCAATAATCAAAGGATCATAATTTTCCTTGAGAACTATCAATGATCTCACTCTCCAGGTAAGAGATTATTGAAAACATTAAGTGACTGCCCCAATTAGAAAAACAAATGAATACCTTAAAAATGTGTAAAAAAGGGTAGCTGCTCATTTAAACATGTACTTTCAAAAAATGATTCTTGTGCCTAATTCGGACAAGTTAGTCAGAGAAACTGGCAAAAAAAAAAAAAAAAAGCTATACATGAATATGTCTCCATTTAAGTTCATGCTCTCAAGCTAGTTTAAAGAAAAAAGTCGCCCAGCTGGGTGTGGCTCAGCAGTTGAGCATCGACCCAGGAACCAAGAGGTCACTGGTTCGATTCCCGGTCAGGGCATATGCCCGGTTGTGGGCTCGATCTCCAGTGTGGGTTGTGCAGGAGGCAGCCGATCAATGATTCTCTCTCATCATTGATGTTTCTATCTCTCCTTCCTTCCTCTGTGAAATCAATAAAAATATATTTAAAAAAAAAGAAAGAAAAAAGTCTAATTAAGGTTTCCAGAGTTTGAGGAGTCCATCCTCACTGTAGGTAGCAATCAGGTTCTGATGAGGATGATGTGCAGCACCAGTCACATCTTCTCATGGACTGTCAGGGTTCTCTCCAGTTTGCCAGTGACGGTGCTAAAACAGTAGAGCACGAAGTCCTCTCCCACACAGTAAATCCATTCGCCAGGCACAGCAAACACAGTCACCACCTTCTCTCTTACCAGAGCCGAAGCTGCTGGCAGTCTGCCCCCGCATGTTCATGATGACCACTGGGTTTGATCTGTTGCACAGCAAAGTGCTCTGGGTTTTTAGGAAGCAGTGTCACACTGTTGACAGTGATGTCCGTCCCTGCAGTGCTGCCCAGGGATTTAAAGGTGTTTGAACATTCTATGGTCTTCATACTCCATGTCTTTACAGTGCCATCAGAGGACACACTGATAATATAATGTCCATCTTGTGTAAAGGTTGCTTCATTAACAAAGGAAGAATGGCCACGAAATTCCTTCAGGTCCTGTGGATGCATTTCCATCCCTCCCAGACTTTAAGCCGTGAATCCTAATGGTCTGGTCAAAAGAGGCACTGAGGGTCTGGCTGCTGTCCTTAGAAAAGCTTAGACAGGCGACACCTTTACTGTGTGCCCTTTCAGATCTCCTTAGACACTGTCCGCTCTGAATTTTCCAGACCTTGATTTTTCCATCTCGGGCCCCAGTTGCTAACATTTCTGTATCTCTGCTGAAACACATGCAGAGAACAGCATGTGTATCATCATAAAGTTATCCTGGGCCTGGTACTTACGATCCTTCCTGATTTTCCCAGTTGTGAAGTCACATACTTCAATGGATCCGTCAACAGACCCAGTGACCAAATACTGACCATCTGGAGAAGATCGAGCACACTCCACATGCGATTTCTGACCAAACTTAATATGCCTGCTCAGCTGTGTAGGAAAAGTTTCTTCTTCCACATCTTTGACAGCTGCTTTGCCCCGGAGCAAATCTATGGCCATCTATGGTCTTTATGATCTAGAACCTTCAGCATGGAGTCTCGGGCCTCGCTGATCTGATCCATCACCAGCTTACGCCTCTGCATGTTCCCCTGGATGAGTTCGTTGATGTGGTGCAGGTTGTCGTCCGTCGCCGCTTTCTTCTTGGGGACGATCCCTTCCTGGAGGGTGGTGAGCCTTCCATAAACGTTGTGCTCTAGATTCGTCAGCTGTAGCAACTGGGCAGCACAGAGGTGGACTTGCCAGCCTTGGGCACGACAGGACACTCCCTTTTGGCTGGCGATTTCCTGCAGCATGGCTTTCTTCTCCTCTTTAACCCGGACGTCACTGTATCGCTGAAAGTGGTGGTAAGCAGCTTTCCTGGGGTTCCGATAGGGACGGAGCAAAGTAATGGGAGGTACTGGGACTGGACAGGAGCAGATGGTCTATTGTCACTTCGAGTCTCCATGGCCACAGGGTTTGGAGAGGCCCGATGTCCTGAAATGGGCATCAGGCTGCTCCTCTCTGTGGGGTAATCGGGCTGGATCCTAGGAGAAGTGTGTGTGACCTGCTGAGGCACCACCTTAGCAACTGGGATGTTTGAGGTGGTCACAGCAGTAGCATGGGATGAATGGGAGGGCACTGTCATGGTAACAATTGTACTCGTGGGGGCTTGTGTGTGTGACACAGATCCGGCTGTGGTTGCTGAAGAGATTGTGTTGGTCGCCAAAATGGGTGCCACTGTCGCCGCAGCCACTGGGGTGCCCGTGCTGAAGATTGTTTCCTGAGCCATGGTGTGAAGCTGCTGCTTTGGTGTCCCTAAGGCAGGGTGCGAGGGCAGTGTGATTCCTGTTGCTGCATCCCGTGACTGGGGTGGGGGTGGGGGGGCGCTGAATGCTGATGGCCGCAGATGGCGGGTGCTGGATAGACAAAGCTGGCCGACTCAGTGCTGAATCAGTAGCATGTGCTGCTGTTGTAGTAATGACTGGAGACTGAGCTCTGGTGGCTGAGACAGTTGCTACCACGGCAGGAGGGATGGTATTAGAAGTTGTCACAGGTGGACGAGACTGGACTGGCTGGTGAATGATGTGCTGGACTGCTGGTGGAGTGGCTGCAGCATTTGGCAACTGGGAAGTCGGCCTCAGGACTGTGGTTACTTTAGAACTAGACAGCAGAGCAGCAGCTGCTGCACCTCGAGGTAAATGAGAAGCTCCAATGTGTAGGGGGCGCCCAGGAGCAGTGCTGCGGATAATGCACATCTGCACATTGGTGGTCATGATGTGATGCAGGTTACTGGGATGGCCCTGTTGTCCACTGATTGTTGCCACGGGAATGGCTGAGGCCTGTGGGAGGCTGCTCTCCATGGTAACTGTGACCTGCCCTGAGGCCTTGGGGGGCAGTGACAAGGTAGAAGGTGGAGCAGGAGCAATGGGGCGGCTCGGCATCGTGGGCTTCGGAGGCGGCTTCATAAGTCCCTCCGAAAATGAGAGTGGCACTGCAGGCGTCAGATGTGCTGGTGGGGCTGTCACAGTGACAGGGGTGCCCGGTGCGACAGCATGGTGTGTCGACAGCATCTGCACCTGTGGGTAGGGCCTCACCACAACGGCTCTTGCTTCTCTTCACGGGCCTGGAGGGAACTGCTGGAACCCATGTGCTCCCTGGCAGTGACTTCAGCATCTCGAGTAGATTCATCGTTGACTGTCGCTGCTGGGTTTATCAGTCCTGCAGAACCACTGCTGGCGATCTGCGAAGGAGCCTGGCTTAGCCCAGTGGAAGGAGTTCCTAACCGAGGAAACTGTTGAGAACTCATTTCCACTTGGGCGCTGCACCGAGTGATCACCGAGCCGCCTCGAGCTCCTTCCCCTGCGCTCGCAGCTCGGGGGCCCACGTCCTCGGCTCCAGACCCTCCGATGCCACTAGTTTGATCTTTTATATGCGAAGGAATCGCTGAGCTAAAGCCAGCCCTAGTTTGATCTTTTAATTCATCCTTCGGGGGAGCAATGCCCATGGCATGAAGTGGCCAGGCCCACCATATTGGCATTGCCAATGAGCCCTGGCTTCAGTGCCAGCTGGGCTTGGGTGCGGGCTTGTAGTTCAGCTGCTTTCCTTGCCTTCTCCATGGCATCATTCATGAAAGTGGCGGCCTGGGAGGGCTGAATAGTGCTGCCAGTTGGAAGTCGCTCTGGTTGGGAGGAAGAAGGAGTCTCTGGCTGAGCTGTAGGGGGGCTGATGGAACTCAGCTGTTTCTTCCTCTCCTTGATTTGTGGTGCTGCCTCCATCATCTGTTTGACCTGGAGCTTGGTCAGCATGCCCGGGCTCTCTGAAGGAGGCCCAGGCATCACTTCCGGCTCCTCGTCTACCTCCTCAACACGGGGTATCCGTCGCTTCTTCCATCCTGAGGATTCCTTGGCGATCTCAGAGTCATCACCAAACACGTCCTTCAGCTCTCGTTTTCTGCTCCCATCACTGCTAGACTTGGAATGTCTAGAGCTTCGGCCTTCCCCTACAGCCTCAAACAGTTTGTCCACGAATCGGAGAGTAGAATCATCAAGAAAAGGCTTCAGATGGTCGCTGCTTTCTCCTTGTCCATGCCCTTCCCCACACAGTTCAGCGCTGCTGTGACCACTGTGGGCTCTGAGAAACCTAGTACCCTAGTACCCTAGTACCCGAAGAAGGAATGACACAAAGACAGTGTTCAGTTGATCAGCAGCCTAGCAAGCTTCTCTAGCCAGGTTCCAGCCAGGATCTCTAGCCAGGTTCTGTCTTTTTATTTTTATTTTTTTTAGACAATGTGCTTTTAATCACACTTTCCCCAAAAGTATCTCCTTTCCCAGTTAAAATAACAAAAACGAGGTGTGGTGGGGACTGCTCTGCCCCCAACTGGGGGGGGGACCTTGGTGCAGGGGCCTCCGCACCCCCCTGGACAGTCCGGGCACTGGGCACTGGCGGGCTCCCCCCATCGGAGCCCCCAGCCCTGACCCCTTGGGAGCACATGGCCTCCACGTCTGCCCTGGGCGGCCACCCAGGGTGCACCCTCAGGGGGACATGATGCCGTTCTTCTTGCCCTTGACCTTGAGGAACTCGGCCATGCTGGAGAAGTACTTCTGGTTGGCCTCCGCCACCTTCTTCTCGGCCGCTTGTGGGTTCACAATCTCCAGGCCCTGGAGCGGGGTGAAGGCCACACTGGAGGCGGTGCCCGAGGAGCGGTCGCGGATGGTGGACTTCCCGCCGTACACCACACTCTGCTTCTGCAGGGTCTGCTGCAGCGTCTTGGAGATCCTGGCTTTGGTGGCCTCGTTCACCTGCGTCTGCCGCACGCGCCCACTGCCCGACTTGCCCAGGTGGCCCAGGCTGAAGCCCAGGTCCTCCTGGTAGGCTTCCTCCTCGATCTCTCCGAAGCTCATGCGGTTGGCCTGCTTCTGGATCTCCGTCAGCCCCAGCCGCTCCTTCATTTTGCGATACCTGCGGCCGCCTCGCTTCTTGCGCTGCCCATCGAGGGGCGCAGGCAGCGGCTTCACCTGCTTCACAGGGGGAGGCTCCTGCCACTTGTCGAACTTCCGCTCGATCTCATCCTTGAGTTCGTAGCCCACCTTCCCCTCCGTGCTCTCGTGGAAGCTGTCCACGCGGGCTGCCAGCGTGCACTTGGCAGCCACCAGGCGGGCCGCTTTCCACCGGAGATCCGGGGGCAGGGACTGCACGGTGTCGCTGTGGTAGATGTAGCCGGTGTGGGGCAGCACGGAGGTGGACGAGAAGCCCGACAGCGTCTTGCGCTGGGCCCCCAGCAGCATAATGTTGCAGGTGGGCATCTTGGACAGGTTGGTCAGGCCGCCGGCCACCCCCATGATCTTGGCGGCCGTGGACGCCCCGATGATGATGGAGAGGTTGGGCGCGATGAAGGACATGTGGGACTCCACGTACTCGTAGATGCGGTGCTTGGAGGCGTTCAGCTCCAGCGCCATGTCGCAGGCCTCCTCCAGCCGCTCCAGCTCCTCCTCTGACAGCCTCTGCCCCTGGGTGGTCGAGGCGGTCACGCTGACCACCATGGTGGTGGCGTTGGTCAGGATCTGCTGCAGGTTCTCGTTGTTCTTGCACTTGTCCAGGCTGTTGCCCAGCTCCTTGACCGTGCGGATGTAATCCAGCGCGTTGGGGACCAGCGACTCCAGCTCGGGGAACCGCTTCGAGTACTTGTCTCGGACGAACTTATGGATGATGTTCAGCTCGTTCTCAATCTCCACGGTCAGGTTGTTGGCGTCCACGATGACCCGGTATTCGGGTGCCGCCTCCACTGGTCCCATCACTTCTGAAGCTTTGGCTTGCTTGCTGATGTACTCCTCAATCTTCATCATGATCTCAGCAAACATCTTGCTGTCCCACAGCTTGGCGATGCTCTTGACCGAATCCCCGGAAAGATCCAGCTGTGTCTCCTCCTGCACATCCTCGATCGCCGGCTCCTCTTCCTCCTCCCCATAGCTTCCTCCTTCCTCCTCTCCCGCCACCTCCTCGAGGTCGGCCAGGAGCTCATCTGCCAGAGACATCCTGAGGCCTCCTCCTCGATCCTGGTGCCACGGCTCCTAGGAAATTGGCTTCAGACACCGCTCTACGCAAGCGGATGATGTCTCGCCCTCGCTCAGGTTCTGTCTTTTATTGTCTTGTTCCATCTGTATTTATACCAGTTGATTTTAATCCTATCAATTTCTATTCCAAAGGTTAGGGCGTTTCTTATCTCCATTCCAGGGAGTAAAGATTATGTAGCTTAAGTGTGATTGTTTGTAGTTAAAGTGATTAACTACCCACCTGGCACTTAGTTAAGAGGTTTTATTCCCTCCCTAACTTCAGAGAAAAATCCCTACTTGGGTAAACAACCTTTCTCGGAGAGGTGACCTTGGTTAAAACACATAGCGCCAAGAAGGGGAGCAAACATATGAAGAACAGTATGCCATATCCGCCAGGTCCCTTGAAACATATGCTGTGCAGATGTTTCTTCCCTGCAGCGACTGTGTCAAGCAGCAAGGGTGGAACGGCTTCCGGCAATACCCGGGTTGTGGGCTTGATCCCCAGTGTTTTTGGCCTGCAGGAGGCTGCTGATCAATAGTTCTCTCTTGTCTCTCATTGTTCATATTTCTATTTCTCTCTCCCTCTTCCTTCCTCTCTAAAATCAATCTATATATATATATTGGCCTGGGGAGCCGGGGGAATGTTGGTCAGGATCAAACAAATCTCAGTGGCTTAATACACGGGTTTTGCAAACTCGAATTTCAGGTCCCAGGTGGTCAGCAGGGGTCCTGCTGTCAGGTGTGTGGGAGACCTAGACAGACGGAGGCCTCAACCGGGCACCTGTGAGCTGAGTCATAACTGTGGGAAGCTGCTGTGGCGGTGCTTTTGGATAACTTGTTTATAAGTTTACATAACACAGGTCTGTTCTAGGCGCTCTAGGCAGAGTGGCTTACTTCTCATGACAACCGGTGAGGGAAGAGGGTTCATTGGTCAGAGGAGGCACGAGGTCCAGGGGCCAGCCTATCGTGGCAGAGCCAGGATGTCCAGCACCCTGCAGCCCCCGGAGAATTCAGAAAGGCTGGAACCGGGCCCCAGGTAGGGGCAGGTGGCACTACCAAGAGAGGTGGCTGGACAGGAAGTGGAGCGATTTGAAGGACTTTGTAAACTGGAGGAGACTGCGTCCTTCCCCAGAGGCTTAAGAATCCCTTGATTGTACTTAAGTAGGAGAGTGACACGAGCAAATTTGCAGATTGGAAAAATCACTGGCTCACCCCCAATGCTCTCCTCCCCCACATCCCTCCGAACCCCCAACCCCGTTTATCAGTGTGGCTCATTGCTCAACCTAGCCCTGCCGCTGAAGGATAAGGCTGTACAATTTCTCCTGTGAGGCCAGGCTCCGGTGCTGAGCCCTAAGCTGGCTTGAGAGGCAGACCCATGTCCACACACGTCACGGCCCCCACTCCACCCTCCCGTCAATGACATGGGCTGCAGCTCGTCTTTCTGAGTCACATAAGCGATTGCCTTCTGAACTGGAAATGCCTTAATCCAGTTGCTCAACCTTCAACGATGAATGCAAATGAGCATCTCTAGTGCTTTTTGGGGAACGGCTCCTAACACAAGTTTTTTTGTGTGTTTTTTTAATCCTCACCCAAGGATATTTTTTCCATTGATTTTTTGGGGGAGAGTGGAAGAGAGAAACACAGAGAGAAACATCAATGTGAGAAAAACACATCGACTGGTTGCCTCCTGCATGTGCCCCAACCAGGGCCTGGGCCTGGGAGGAACCTGCAACTGAGGCTGGTGCCTTTGGCCAGAATTGAACCTGGAATCCTTTGGTCCCCAGGCCAACGCTCTAGCCACTGAGCCAAACAGGCCAGGGCTCACCTTTCTTTCTAGTGCTCACCTTCAAGGCTCGGGCAAGACCCTGTATAGTAGCCATTGAACACACTGGGGGATGGGAGTGTCAGTGTTGCAGGGACTGAGCCACATCTTGGTAATAATTCTCCCGCATCCTCACTCTCCTCTGGCCTCTCCTCCCTAGAGAAATCCAGTGGGACACCAGTAGCCTAAGGGCTATTTATTGAGCAGAGCAGAGAAGAAAGCACACAGGTCCCCCGGGGGCAGGAGGAGGCAGAGGAAGCGGTGGGAGGCAGCCTCCTGCTTAGCATATTCTCTTGCAGCCCCACAGGGCCATCTTGTTGTTGACGGGCATCTTGAAGAAGCGGTCAGACTGCATGTAGGCTGCGATCTTCTCCAAAGCCTGCAGGGGAAGCACGCCAAGCCTCAGAGACCAGCACAGCCTGAAGGCCCGTTTCTAACCAGTGGCACTCACAGCTGCCTGGCCCCACCCCCCTTTGGGGTACAGTAGCTGGACCCTTCCCTAGACGGAAAGGTCTGGAGGTGCCCAACCACGGATCCCTCGAGGCAAAAGCTGGTGTTGGGCAAGACCCACCACAATGGGGCCCCTGGGGTCCCAGGGAGCCTGTGAGTGTTTCTGTAAGAGAAAGGTGTAGGGAGCATCCATCACCTCAAAACGGCACATGAAAGCCTTCAGGTTTGGAAATTCATCCAGGCACTTGGGCTCAAACATACGGTTCTGATCCAAGACATCGTAGGTGAGGAAATCCACAAAGGTGAGCTAGAGACACAGTAAGATGGTGAGGTCGGGGGAGTTCATGAGCACCTGCAGCGACAGAGAGCAATCCTCTCCCTTCCCCTCCTCCTACCTTTTCCCCTGCAAACCACGAGAATTTCCCCAGGAACAGGGAGAACTGTTTCAGTTGTCCAGGGAGCTGTTCCAAGTACTGGGGCTTCAGCTTTTCCTGGGGCAGGGGGGTGGGGGCGGGGAGGAGAGAGAGAGAGAATAGCTGTCATCATGTTCACACCTAACTGGGGCTCAGGGCCCCTTCCCCAGCACCTTCCTCTCCAGGTGCCTCAGGTTGGGATGGCAGGATGCACAGGAGGGGTTTGGAACGGAAGAGGGCCAACACCACAGTTTATGACAAACAAACCCCCACCAAGTCAGAGTTCTGCTTCCTATTCCGACAGCTTGGGTTGGTGGAAGGTGGCAGGAGAATGGAGACTTGACCTTGGGTTCCTGAGGCTCCTTTCCCTCATGCCTGCCTGCCGGGGAGACTCACATGGTCCGAGTTGTAGCAGATTCGAACCAGCTGCATGCGGAAATCCATGATCTGGTTCTCCATGATGTCCACGCGGATCTTTTCTTCTTCAGTATCCCCACCTGTAGGCCAGATGACAAGCAATCACCCTGGGCATATCCACCCCCCCCCCCCCAGAGAGCGGCCAGCCTTGTCCCCGTCCCCAGCCCTACCCACTCACACATGTTGTGCTTGCGTGCGATGTAGCGCAAGATGGCGTTGCTCTGGGTGATCTTGTTCTTGCCGTCCATGAGGTAGGGCAGCTGGAAGGAAAAGATGAAATGAACAACCTGCCTGTCTCCTGGGGCAGGTGAGAATTGCAGGGACATGAACAGTAGAGAGAAGATGCCCTGTCAGCAGGAAGAAGCACATAAGTAGAAGGTGGAGATTGGGCCTCCACCTGAATTTAGGCAGGTGTGTGTGTGTGTGCGTGTGTGCGCGTGCGTGCCATGGACCCTTCTTGCAGAAGTTTTTTAAAGGCATAAAGGAAATTACACATATTTACACAATTTATAAAAACATTAAGAAAACAAAATTGTAACAGTATTATGTGCCTATTAGTGAATTAAATAACAAGCAGGGGTAATAATTACCACAATGTCCAAGTATGATGGATGTACATATTTATTTACAATACCTACCACATATCCAGTAGAATATGAAAATACCTGATTTCTACTAGTGACAAAGCCACAAACATGGCCCATAACCAGCGTCACTTACTGCTCATATGCACAATAGAAGCAACTGGTAACTTGAGTCAGTGCTTTGTGGAAGTGAGAATAACTCTTCCCTCCAAGTTCTTGAGCCCCTGGAGGCTGTTTATTCTATCCAGGCGAAGAGCCCCTGCTGTAGATGCCCCCCAGGCCAGAGAGGGAAGAAGTGAGGGTCCAGGTGACGCCTTCCCTCTGGGCCCCTTCTCCTAAACCACCTACGTTGGGAAAGTCCAGGTCCAGCTTGAATTTCACGTCCAGCCATTGGCTTTTATCAAAGTCAGGAGCTGCAAGAGAGAATGGACCCGACCTCCTTACCTTCCCGCCCGAGGGCGGTGGGAAGCGCTGGGGAAAGAGCCTGTCCCAGGAGCGCATCCCCAGGCCCCCCTGCCTGACCCCTTCATCGCTGGGGCCGCGCTGGTGGAGGGTGAGGACGGAGTTGGGGGGGTTGGGCGCAGGGAGAGCCCAGCTGCAGGTGAGCGCTTCCAGGTGACGGGGCACCCCTCGCCCTGGGCTGGGAGCGATGCCACCCCCGGGGCACGGACGCGCCTTACCTCCCCCGCAGGTGTACCGTTTCTCCTCGTAGCAGGTGCCGGTGAACTCCAGGAGCAGGCGGATGGCGTGCGCCAGCTGGGGGGACAGCCCGGTCGGCGCCTGCGCAGCCCCCTCCCCACCCCCATCCCACCCGCCAACGTCCCCCGGCCCGGGCTGCCGAGCCTCGAGTCCCGCCCGGTAGTCGTTAAGCCGCCGCGCCCCCCTCCCGCCCCGCCATCGTCCAGGCGGCTGGCCGTCCTCGGCCTCTCTCCGCCCGCCGGGGTCCCAGGGGCGGGGCCGGGGCCGCCTCGGCGGCGGGGACTCGACGGGGACTCGGCGGGGCTGGGGTCGCGGGAGCGCGGCTGGGCTCCGAGGACAGCGCTTCCGTGGGGGCCGGTTGGGCCGGAGCCCCCGGGGGCCTCTGCGTCCGTCTCCCCGACGCAGCGGCTGGACAGTGGAGAGCACACTCCCCCCGCGGATATCCCAGTACCCGAGGACCATGGACTTAGAGCACGACATGGTGGTGTCCTTTCCGTGCCTTTCGGAGGGAGGCGAGCGCGGGGCGGGCGGCACTTTATACCCGAGGTGGTGGGCGGGGCCAACGCGAGAGCCTGACTCCGCCCCCCGCCGGGTTCCCTCCTAACGTGTCCCCTGGGCCACGCGCGGGCTCGGCTTCTGCAGTCCCGTGGCCCCGGGAGGGGTGCAGCGCGCGTGCTGGGGGGCTGGGGGGCTGAGGGTCTGGGGACCTGGGGTTGGGACTCTGCGCTCCCCAAGGGTGGGAGTTGCACTCCGTTAATGGTGCCCACAGCGTGGGAAGGGCGCCCACAGCCGAGCAGTGAGGGTAACCCCGGGAGAGTGAGATATTTACTTGGTTGGGGGGCAAGGGGGGAAGGTGGTCAAGGCTGTGGCTTTATCACCCGGGAACCCCACCCTTGTGTGCATGTTGGTGGGTGGGCAGGAGGCCAGAGCTCCTCCAAGGTTCCGGGCCCCAGGGTCTACCGGGCCCCGGCCACTTAGGACCCCAAACTCTTTCCCGCCTCGCCCCCGGATGTGGGAAATCCTATTTCTCCATTAGTCTGGCTGAAGCAAGGTTGGGACTTTTTAAAAGGACATTTCACTAAAAAGAAGAAAGAAAAAAAGTGCAACACACAGGGACAGATACATTCATAATGGCTGAATCTCTCCTCCCAAGATAACAAACGGCCAGTCACAAATTCGCCTGAGGTATAGGACTAACAGTCACTCACTTCCTATAAAATGCCAGGCAGTCATCCAGGTACTTCATTATGTTAAGCTTCACAACTTTGCGAAGTAGATTTTATGCCCGTTTCACAGAAGGAGATAAAGGAGGCCTGGAGGGGTTGGGTGAGTTGCCATTCTAAGCTCTCAAATTCTCTTGAGAGTTTGAGGTCTAACAGCACAGCTCATGTTAGTTCCACTGAACTGGACATCCGGGCAGCCCCTCACCTTATCTCAATCTTTGTTGGGAAATCTGGGGGACACGGCGCTAAAACACTTTTTTCCTGGTCCTGGAGTGTGTCCCCTTTCCTAGGACGCCTGCAGGTCCACCAGCCCAGAGGATAGTGGCTTAATATCTCCTCCCCATCCCAAGACATTAACTTTCTGATTAACTTTTGCCCTTGAGTGTCAGACCCCGAGGGTCTCGCCTGTTTTCGCTTGAGGGAAAAGAGATGATATTCTGAGGCTGGAAACTCGAGGGAGTGACGTAGGCGGTCTGCACCTCGGGTGATCTGGGGCCTCAGCCATGTTAAGGTCCTGGACAAATCCAGCTAAGAGATACTTACGGAAACCTCTAAGAACCCAGGGTGCCTCTAGCTGGTTTGGCTCAGTGGTTGGAGCGTCGGCCCGAGAACTGAAGGGTCCCGAGTTCGATTTCGGTCAAGGGCAACGTACCTTGGTTGCAGGCTCAATCCCCGGCCCCGGTTGGGGCATGTGCAGGAGGCAGCCAATTGATGTGTCTCTCTCACATTGACTTTCTGTCTTTCCCCCTTTCTTCCAATCAATCTCAATAAAAATCAATGGGAAAAATATCCTTGGGTGAGGAGTAACAAAAAAAAAAAAAAAAAAAGAAAAAAAAAGAAAAGAAAAGAAAAGAAAAAGAACTCCAGGGGCCCTTGATCCACAGTACATCAGGCCTTATGTGTAGACGGAATCCGTAGAAGTGCCTGTGCTCTGTACCTTAAATCCTAGAAGCCACATTAGTGCTGAAGCTCTTCACTAATCTTTGAGAAAATTAGATTAGAGAGTGAGGTGCCTTGCCAGCCAGTTGGTGGACTTTGAACTTCCAGTCCACCGTTCCCTACATTCTGCCTCTAGAGACAAGCTGGGGAGGCAGCTCAAGGTCGGCTCGCCCACCAGGAGGGGACAGAAATGGAATCCAAGGAGGCAGCTGCCAAGCAGACCAGCAGCCAGTGCGGCTGATCAAAGCCTCCCGCTGTCCGCAGCCTGGACTCTGCTCCTGGGGAGCGCCCTGCCCTCGGCGCTGCGGGCGCCTTGGGATTCACCGGAACAATGTGCGCAGAAGGGCAACGATGGTGAGCATGGTTGGGAGTTTGTTCAGAAAGAGGGTAAGCAGAGCCTGGGCCATAATCTCAAAGGCTGGCTCTGCGTTCCAGGTGGCGGTGGGACTCCCACTCCCACTCAGTCTGGTCCAGTGATGGGTGCAGGGCTGCTGTTGGGTCCTGCCCAGTGTCCCAGCTCCTCCTGCCTCCCTTCCCTTGCCCCCCGCCCCCCATCAGGCCCAGAAGAAGCTGCAAGGGGGGCGCATGCCAGGCTTGGAGGTGCTTTTATTGGGGAGGAGAGGACTCGGCGGCATCTTGACAAAGCTAGGCATGCGTGCTCCGGGTCTAGGACAGACACAATAAATAGATGGTCGCCAGAGAGGGCTCCCCATGCAGTGAGAGGGCACCATCTGCCCAACCTCTGGGCTTGCTCGTCCTCTTTGCTGTGTGAGCTGGGTGCGGGGTTCGCTGCAATCTGGGGGCCTGCAAGAGGACTGCTCGGGGCTCTAAAGAGAATCGGATCCTCCGTCTGGCTGTGAGAAGGCCTTGATCTTGGAGACATCCGAGCTGGTGCCTAAGGGCTTATCTGAGGAAAGAAGGATGGAGGTGAGGGAAGGGACCCCCCAGAGCTCCTGTGGACACTCCGCTTGGACCTCCAGGCCTGCCTGAGCCCGTGTTGTCAAGTCCCTGGGGGAAGAGCCCGTGCCTAGAACCCGCCACGCTCAGTTCCTCCCTGGGGCGGGCCTGCTGGCTCTCACTGTCACCCAGGGAGCACCCCACATGTCCACTGGGGTTCCCGGGGTGTTCTCACCCCCAGCGTCCTTCTGCTGGCTTCCAGCCGGGCCACGACCCGGGGGGCATCCTGAGGACACACCACCTGGAGCTCCCCCGGGCTCAGGTGCAGCAGCTGCGACCCCGTCAGGGCCCCGAGGGCCTTCACGGTGCTGGGGACAGACAGGCCGTCAGTGTGGGCAGGGGACTTGGGCCGAGTCTGGCAGAGAGGGGCCGTTTGGGCTCCGAGGCTGGGGCTGCCGGAGAACTCATGGAACAGGGCGTGTGGAGGTGAAGGAGTAACCTATGCATTTTGGCTTAAACCAATTTCAGACTCCTGGTCTGGAGGGAGGTGCGCAGGGAAGAAAATCTTGTGGGGGTAGGTGGGGGGGTGGGGGGGTAGCAGCCGAGGTTCCTCCTGTGTTCCCCCAATCCTACTGCCTTCCCTATGGCAAGGGCTCCCCACTTAGGCATGAACACAGCCCCTCTTCTGCTGTGACCGGGCAACATGTGTGGGACTGTCATGTACCATGTAAGTACCGTGCAGGTAGCAGGTAGACAGGAGGCAGGTCCTGGGGTTCTGGGTCTCCTTGGTTACTGTCTGAACCCTCCACCAAGGCCCCCCACGCACCCCAGGGCGAGGCGCTCACCCAGGGGTGAAGTTCTCTGCCTGCAGCCAGGCTCTGACCTCCTCGGGCCTGGAGCTCAGTCGCAGCATCGGGGCCTAGAATTGGGGGCACTGGGAGTCAGAGACCAACTCCTCCCAGAGCCCCCCAGGGCCCCCATCGCCTGGGCCCCCATCGCCTGGGCCCTGCTCTGGGCTGCCGGCAGGTAGGGCCCAGGCTTAGCCTCGGCTCCGGCTCCTGATAAGCTCGGCCACGTGAGCACGCGATGACATGAAATCAACCAGGACGGCCTTCTCTACGGTCCTGAGGCCCCCGCCCCACCCGCTCCGGTCCCGGCCCCAGAGCTGAGGCTGGTTGAGCGCCGGAGTACCCGAAGGGCCGGGCTCTGCCTCCCGGACGGCCCGGACTGCAGGGGCTCCAGGATGTTGCTGGGAACGTAGCCGCTGTCTCCCGTCTGGTCCTTCACCAGCCACCACCGCTTGCTGTGGTCCAGAACCTGCCGGGAGTCACCCTCAGTCACAGGAGCCTCTTCCTCCCCGACAAGGCTTTCTCCTCCCTGGCCCTCCCCACGTTCCCGCTCTCTCTAGGCCACCCACCCCAGCAGCCCCACCCGCACCCCCACCCCAGCTGCCTGCAGCGCCCGCCCGCCCAGCCCGGCCTCACCTCCACCACCTCTCCCGGGGCCACTGTCAGCTCCTTTGGGTTCCTAGCTTCAAACTCGAATAAGACCTGCATTCTCAGGGCTGGCTGCACTGGCCTTGGGGTGAAGGGCACAAGGTTAGGGGCCCCGCACGGAGGGCCATGGTGTGTGTCTCCACTTGAGCCAAGTAGGAGGTGCTCCCTGACCTGATAACCCCTCCCTCCCCGCCCCCCCCCCACCCTCCCCACCGAGGGTGCTGGAGCCAGGACTGGGAAACAGAGCCCCTGGCCCAGCCCTGGAGCCCAGCTGTCTCCCACCCAGGCCGGGAGGCCACTGTTGGGTTTCCACAGGGTTGAATGACAGGGCAGTGTTAGTGGGGCTTGGGGGGCGTTGTCTGCAGGCAGCAGGGGCTGGGATGTGGCTGATCTCTGAGGACTCGGTTGGGGACTTCTCTCCCATAGGTCACAGGGTCAGCCCCTTCTCACCCTCCCCTTAACCGTACGGCCTGGCTAAGCCCCGGGCTCACCGGAGGGAAGCGGAGTCCTGGTATCCTGGGGGTGCCTGTGGGGGCAGGACAGAGTGGGCGAGGGCAGAGTGAGGGAGGGCAGCATGGAGGCAGGAGGCTGGCCACAGAGCCACTCCCACACAGCTGCCTCACGGCCCCTCCCCTGCCTGCCTTGCACCTACATGTGGGTTCTCGGTTGCCATGTGACCATGGCGTGGACTGAGAAGGCAGAAACTAGCCAGAGGCAGGGCTTGGAGTAGGGCTCCGTGCTAAGCTCCCCTTACCTGGTTGGAAGGTTCTGGAGGCTGCCAGCCATCATAGAACATAGGTTGGTAGGGCGGGACCTCATGGCCTGTCCAGTTGTCCCTGGGGAGAGAACCAAGCTGAGTCCACTCCGCTCCAGGCCGTGGGACGGAGGAAGAGACGGAACCGAGCCTCGGGGCCTTCTAGGGCAGGGGTGGGGAACCTTCTTGCTGCCCAGGGCCATTTGGGCATTTACAGCATCATTCGAGAGCCACACACAATTATCAACTTAAAAACCAGCCTGCGGTATCCGGCCCAACATTTCATTAACTCGCCCCTCATGCCTCAGCAGGGCCAGACGAAACGATTTCGTGAGCCTTAGATGGCCCGAGGGCTGGAGTTCCCCGCCCCTGGTCATGCCCACGCACACAGCCGAAAGGCCCCAGGACACCCGCGAAGGGGCAAGCGCTGGGCGCGAGCAGGTCCCACAGGGCGGGGATCTGTGGCCAGCTTCGCCTCTGCCCACGGAGTTCAGAATATCAGCTCCAGGAGAACATGCCGGGCACTCGATCACACCGACTGGGGGTCGGCCCTAAGGTGGGGGCAGGGCAGTGTGGATTTTTCCTCCTGCACTGTCACTGCACTTGGGCCGCCTGGGTTTCCGCTTCTCACATGTGCTGCACGTGACTCCCACCTGTCCCCGGAGCTGCTGTCCCCAGGACAGTGGAGGGTATATAGGCGGCAGCTAAGAATATGTGTTCAATGGGAACAAATAAGTTGTTTATTTTCTGAATCTTTTTAAGCGGTCCCTTCCCTTCTCTTTGCCTTAAAAACATGCTCAGGCCTTCCCTTGACTGTGTTACTACTACTTTTAATCTGTTATTCTAGTCCCTTCTCTGTACCAACTTTTTTGAGAATGTGTCTATCCGCCCTTCCTACATTTCATTATTCCTTGCAACCCGATTCTTACCTCCGCCATTACTCTATTGCTACCAGTTTTTCTAAAGTCCCCATAATCTCCTGATTGCCAAGTCCACTGGCTTCGTATGGCCCATGTCCTTCCAAACCACAGCATTCAGCATTGTTTACAGCTTGGGGTCAATTTGCGTAAAATCAAGCCACCTAAATATAACTTGCCTGAAATTCAACTCTTTTGAGGGTTTTTACACCCTCTTTAGACTATTTTCTGTATTTTTGTCTTCCAACTCACTCATTCACTAACTTCTTGTTATTGTAAGAAATCAGAAAACATTCCAGGGCATATCTGACCTAGTTTTGTATTTAAAATGATACACAGAGCCAGGAAGTAGGAGGAGCCCACGGGGGCTGGGGAGAGGGAGGCATCGGTACAGAATCGTGTTACTTGCTGAATGGGTACAGAGTTTCTGTTTGGGACCGGGAAAAAGTTCTAGAAATGGATAGTGGTGAAGGTTGCCGAACATTGTTCAGTATTTAGTGCCACTGAATTATACTCTTAAAAACATTAAAATGGTAAGTTGCATCTTATGTACATTCTGTCACAGCTAAATAGATAGACTACATTGAACTGTACTTGATGTCGTGGGATGGGCTGGACAACCACCCCCTAAGGGGGCTGAGTTGAAAAGAACTCACTAGGCAAGATGCCGGAGCAAGTGGCTTACTTCCTGGTGGTTTCTCTTTCTAAAACCCTCTTCTCTCTTGGTTTTTATGCCTCTGCTTTTTTGTTTCTTCTTTTAACTCTCGGGAATTTCTCTTTGCCTCCTTAATCCTCTTTCCTTTCTCCACTTACATATAGAAGTTCCCCTTTTCTCTCCGGGACAGAGCGACCTTGCCCACTAAGGTGAGTTCCAGGGCTGCCTGTGGAGGGCTCGCCTCTAGGTGGCGCTGTCATTTCTGTGCTGACTGTTCTTAAACCCTCATAGTCAGGTCTGACCTCTCACCTGAGGGCCAGGGGCCCCCCTGTCTCTGTGGGATGTTCACTGATACCCCAGCCCAGCACATCCAAGCTGGGTTTACCCGCCCCCCGCCCCCCAACGGCTCTCATCGGTTTGGGTTTGGTCTTGTTGTCCAACTGCCCATCTCAGGGTTACACGGATGTGGCACCTCACGTTTGATCGTAACTCCTCGGCCAGTTGGTTGCCAAGTCTTACAGACGTTACACTTGCAGCAACTCTTACGTCAGTAATTCTTAAGTTCTGGGCCCGATTGAGACACGTTTTCACTTTGTTCTTGACAAAAGTGAGAAAGTATTTTGGTAGAAGGTTGCCAACTCTACATTCTTGGGAGAATTGTTCTTTTTTCCTGAGATAATGCCTTTCCTTCTGAGGCGGGTAATGGCGGGCGATGGTTTTAAAAAGAAATGTTTCAGCCCTGGCGGTGGGGCTCAGTGGTTGGGCGTTGACCCATGAACCCGGAGGTCACAGCTCAATTCCTGGTCAGGGCATATGCCTGGGTGTGGGCTCGATCCCCAGTAGGGGGCGTGTAGGAGGCAGCCGATCAATGATTCTCGCTCATCATTGATGGCTTCTATCCCTCTCTCCCTCTCCCTTCCTCTCTGAAATATATATAAATAAATTGTTTGTACTTGGTGTAACATAGAGTTGGGAGCTCCATGTGGAGCCACCGCTTTGCTTTGAGATGTTTCTGGTCTGTGACAGTGTAGAGCTCGCCACACCCAATGCCCTGCCCTATGCCCCAGCCCAGCCTCATCTTCCCTCACCGGCTGGTGGTCCAGGCCGGGCCCAGGCTCTTCCAGAGGTTACTGTCAGGCGGGCTTAGGTAGAACTTGAGCATGTCGACGGCTTCGGGGGTGAGGAGGGGTGAGATCACTTGGCCTGCGAGGTCACGCTCAGGGCACTGCGTCAGGACCTAGAGGGAGGAGGGCCATGTCAGGAAGCCTACGCTCCCGCAGGCCCAGCTGGAGTGGGCAGGGCCGGAGTCTCAGCTTCTGCAGTGCCTGAGGCCTCAGGCCTGCAGTCCTTGGCTCCACCCCCAGCCCCTCTGGTCTGCCCAGGGCGCTGTACACAGCGGGATGGTGTGTTGAGGTCGAGGAAAATGTGTGGGGGTGAGTGAGGGGCAGACCCCACAGCCTCCCTCTACCCTCTGCCCGCCACCCTGGCCTCTGCTTGGTCTACACTTCAGCTTGTACCTCTTCGCCACCCTGACCTCCCCCAACTCACCAAGTGCAGAGTCCGGAAGAGCATGTGCAGCAGCTCGGCGGCACTGGGATTCTGCAGATGGATGGCCAGCCTCCCCTGGGGACACAGGGTACCATCACCACCCTCCATCCACCCACCCCACCTGCACCCGGACCCCAGGGCCCATCCGTGTCCCGGGCCTTGGTTGGGGGCCTGGCACTCTCCAAGGTCCTGAGAGGGGGGAGGGGAGGTCTCAGGGGAGAACCTGGGATGCCTGTGAGGCCCCAGAACGGGGGTGCTGGGGGCAGTGGTGTGAGGGAGGGCTGGGAACTTGTGGGAGCCACATACCAGGAGGTTGAAGCTGTACTTGAACTTCTGGAAGCAATCGAAGTACTGCGCCGGTGTCCTCCCTGTGGGGGAGGGGGTGGGGAGAAGGTGGTGGGTCACAGGGTATCCCGAGGCACCACCCCTCTCCCCTGGCCCTCAGCACTCACCCCCCGGACCCGTGTTCTTTTTCTTCCCCTGTTTCTTCGTCTTCTTCGCACTGGCGTTGACCTGGGCCTTCATCAGCGGTTGCACGAACACCTCGATGTCCCTCAGGATGTGGTTCAGCACCTCCTGGACTCAAAGAGCTTGGGCTTTAGGCGGGCAATCAGGCCCCCCTGGAACCCCCAACCTTCCCCAGCCCCAGCCCCTGCCTCTGCCCCAGTCCCCCCGCCTCCCCCGTCCCTCCTCAGCCCCAGGCCTGCCTTGGCCCCCCTGGGACCCCCAACCTGCCCCAGCCCCAGCCCCTGCCTCTGCCCCAGCCCCCCCGCCCCCCCATCCCTCCTCAGCCCCAGGCCTGCCTTGGCTGCCCTGGGACCTGGTTTCTGGGGGGAAGGGTTGGTGTCCCCCTTCGCCAGGCTCAGGAGCTCGGCAGGCCCAGACAGTCTGCGGTTACCTCGTCCCTCACTGGGTCCTCGGGGGTCGGGGGGCGCCTTGGAGGAGGCAGAGCGAAGGCGCTTGGTTCTCGAGCACTGGAGTGTCGTGACAGGGGCCGCGGGGATGGTGGCACACCTACAATGCAGGAGGGCATGGCCTCTGATCTTTAATCTAAACCTCTCCTCCCCCGTCCCCACACCCCACACTTACTGTGCTCTGGGGCCATCCAGGGGGGCTGTTCTGGAGGGGGCCCACACTCCAGGGGGGCTGCCTGCTCCCTAGGGAGTGGCCTTTCCAGAGGAGCCCCCCTCCATCTGTCCTGGCCGGGGTGAGGGACTCCAAATCGGGGTCTGCCGAGCACACAGTGGGGACACAGGCTTGACAGTGTTTTGGGGACAGAGGCTCTGCCACACTTCTCTCCAGGCCTCCCCCTGGAACCTTCCCTGCCTCCCCCCGACTCCCTGCCTCATGTGCCCACCTCTGAGCTCTCTCGGGTCCCTGGTCAGGCTCTAGGGACAGTCTCCAGTGTCCCCTGGGCCAGCCCCAGCCCATCCAGCCTTGGCCCCTCCCAGCTCCAGGCCCCGGTTCCTTGGGCTGCAGCTCCTGGGCTCTCACCTGGGCTGGATGGAGCTCTGCGCTCCTGCAGGGGGCGGGGCAGAGGCTGCCTACCTGAGCTCCAGCTCCTCCTTCAGGGCCTTCTGCAGGCTGGTCCTCAGCCGCTCTGCCTGGAGGAGTAGCAGGTGGGCAGGGGTGTGTGTGTGTGTGTGTGTGTTTGGGGGGAGGGATGGTTGTTGGGCCCCACACCCACTCTCTTCTCACCCCACCCCGGCCACTCACCCCCACTTCCGGGCACTGGAAGAGCAGAGTGCTGCCGCCCGGCGGGCCCGCCCCCCGCACGGTGATGGACAGGATGGAGTTGTAGGAGCAGGAGTTGAGCACTGCGTCCATGGCCTGGATGCTGTCCAGGCGGTAGGAGTCCAGCTCCTCCTGGGCCAGGTGGAAAGGTGGCTGTGAGGTCACCGAGAGCCTGGGTGGCTCGTGGGGGCTCCTGACCGGGGTCACCCCAGCCCGGCAGTGGCCTGGGGCTGGAGTGTCCACTCCCCTGCCCCCTGGCCTCTGTGCCCGGTCTCTTCCTAGGCCTGGGCCCTGCCCACGGGAGGGCGGCTGCCGTCTGGGGCAGGGAGGGGTGGAGCCGACGCCCGGGGCTGGCTCTCCCACAGCTGGGCTAGCGATGACCGGCTGCAGGTGCGCGGAGGGCTGACCTTGGTCTCGATGTCCAGCAGCTGGAGCCAGCCGTCTCTGACCTGCAGCAGCAGGTTCTGGCTCCACACCCGGCCCTGGGCGTCCAGCTCCTGCAGCCGCTGCACGGCGTCCTTGGGCTCCCGGACGCCCTGCGTGCCCAGCTTACACGTCATCAGGTGCTGAGGGGCGAGGAGGCCAGGGCTGGAGCAGGTTTGGAGAGGGGGGCAGAGGGGGCACGCGGGGTGGGGGAAGGGCAGCCGAGGAGGAAGCAGGGCCTCCCCATAGAGCAGCCTTCGAGGGCCAGTGAGGCCGAGGGCTGTGAGAGGGGGTTTAGGCCTCTGGAGAGAGGACGTGGCCTTGGGCAGGTCCAGGGGGCTGAGGGGGCCGGATGCTGGTCAGTGTGGGCTTCCACCACCCAACAAGTAAAGCGCGAACTCCTCTGGGGGGATGCAGGGCCCTCACATTCCGTCCCTGGCTTCCTTTGCTCCTTTGGGAACCCGCTATCCCAGCCTGGGCCTTCTCTCTGACCTGCACTCCTGCCTTGTACCTTCGCTCATGCTGGTCCCCACCCCCTTCCCACTGCTCTTCCTGCGCCTCCCAGCGTCTTGGGAGGAAACCCAGGCCCCCCTCCTCCCGATTCCTGCCCCGTGGGGTGCAGTGATCTTATCTCCGTGCTGGTCTGATCATCCCCGGTTTCCAGTTCGCTGTTACTCTCCCTCCTGGCGGAGACCCCTCCTCCTCCCGTCCAAACGCAGCTTCACAGGTCACAGTCCTGCCCTCGGTCCCCTCCAGGGGGAGTGTCATCTGCCTCCTCCCTGGCCCCACTGCCCTGCTCTCTGCCCAGGCCCCAGCGCCTCTCCTGGGGGAGCCGCCTGCATGCCCAGGGCCCTGGCGTCCGTCGTGAGCAAACGCCCTGGCATCCTGGGCGTGCCTCCTCTTGCTCTCACCCGCTGGGCCCAAGGGAAGCCAGTTCCCAGCCCCCGCCCCGCCATGAAGCCCAGGACCCCGGTCCCAGCCTCTGCTGCCCTGTGGAGCCTCCAGACCATTGCCCATGTCCCTCCCTCCTCCTTCCCGGGACAGCCCCGCTCTGCTGCTGCCCCGGGTTCGCCCTCCCCACCACGCCCTTCCGGCCTGAGCTGTGTTGGTTGTGTCCACAGCCCTTCAGGCAACCGGATGCCACAGGGGCAGTGTCCTCCTCCCAGGCGAGAGCCTCCAAGCAGCTCTGCCCAGGCCCAGATACTGCCCTTGTGGGACCGCTGACCTCACACATTCCTCCTCGCACCTGTACCAGGTTCAGGGCAAAGAGCAGTTCCCTGGGACCAGGTGTGGCAGGGGGTGGGGCTGGAGACAGGTGGGGGTGGGAGTGGCTGCACGTGTCTGCACTGCTGCCCTGGCGTTCCTGGCGTCCTCCAACCTCCAGCCCGGCCTCCCTCCCGCCCAGCTGCCCGGGCCTCCCAGCAAGGCTGCCGGCCCGAGCCCACCTGACCTGGCTGGGCCAGGCTGCTGGCTCTGTGGCAGGACTTGTCTGGGTGTCTGATTTGGGGCAGGGCCTTGGGCACCAGGAAAATGGCGTGGAATCAGGAAACTGTCTGGGCCCCGGGTTACTCACCTCCACCCGGTGCTGCGGGCAGGCGGGCTCTGAGGCCAGGCTGTGCAAGTACTCTTTCCGGTGCACTGCGGGGGACAGCGTGGGGTGGGGTGGGGGGCGGAAGGCCCAGGTGAGACTGAGGCAGTGCGGGGTGGGCAGCATGCGGAGGGCCAGGGAGAGGGGATGGAGGGAGAACTTACTGTAGATGGCTTTGCTGCTGGGCCGGGACATGGTGACGCTGCTGAGTGAGTCCCTAGAACCTAAACTGAATCAAAGGGACAGCCGTCAGCTGCGGAGAGAAACCCCAGGGCGGAGGGGGAGGGGGGCAGGTCGCGGATCCTGTGCCTGGTCCCTGACCCGCCTGAGGCCTGGACCAGGCTCCCACCCGGGGCCTCTGAGACCCAAAGCCCTGGCCCCAGGGCCTCTCCGAGCCATCTCCAGCCATGCCTCCTCCACCGAGGAGCGCTCCATGGGTGCTGGGCCTGGGGGCCCCAAGGCAGGCTCCCGGCCTCCTGTTATTTGGTCAGTAAAGCCATTTCGATGGGCCCTGGAAAGCTGGTGGCCGGGGACCTGGCCCAGATCCCGTCCTGGGCCCGAGTGTGAAAGAGGCCGAGACTGGGCTGTCCCCGGCTTCCCGCCAAAGCCAGCCTCTGTGCGGCCGGTTCAGTTCTGCGCGTTGGGAGGTCGATGTTGGCTCTTAAGCTGGGCACCGCTCACGAGGGTGTGTGGGCACGCTGCGCCCGTGCGTGCACACTTCTGGGGCCCTGCATCAGTGACCTGTGCTCCCCGAATGCCTTCCCAAGTCTCCTGTCATTTCGTCTTTCCAGACTCTGAACCCTCTGCCAGGTCCCTCTCACTCAACCCTACATCTCAGCTCGAGGATCACCTTCTTGGTGAAGCCCTCCATGAGCACCCCGCCCCCCGGCCCCGCCCAGAGCGCCCTCCTCACGCCACCCGGAACCTTGTCTGTTCCTTTAAAGACAACAGCCACCCGGTTAGTGCCGAGAGCCCGGGCCGAGGCCCCGATGAACACGGCGCCGTGGAATTCTCACCGCCACCGCATGCGGCTCCTTACACCCAGCCTGCTCGCGGACTTTACCTTCGTCAGCTTGTTTAATCCTCAAAACGTCCTCGCCCGGTGGTACTGTTATTATGCCATTTACCAGGCGAGGTGCCAGAGTGTTTATGTGTGTGCCTCTGTCACTGTGGGCACAGCGGGGCCTGAAGACGGAGATGATGACATGCGTGAAGGTGCGTGTGTGGATGTGTGTGTTCATGCAGGGCGGGGCCTAATTGAGGGTGTAGGTCAAGCATGTCAAACTCAAAGGCTAACACGGGCCAAATAAACAAGGTTTAAGCTTATGTGGCCGCAAAAAATCAAAAGCTTCAATTTTCATAGAAATGTAGGTTTATTTTGAAAAGTATAGTATTAAAAAAAAAAAGAACAAGAGCAATGATAAAATTAATGCTTTCTTCCCGACACGTGGCACCGCTTCTCTCTACTCTCTTTCCTACTTGGGGGGAAATCTTGTTCGCAGTGATTACTTTCAAAACTGCCCCAAGGTTGCCGAAACCGGTTTGGCTCAGTGGATAGAGCATCGACCTGCAGACTGAGGGGTCCCGGGTTCGATTCCAGTCAAGGGCATGTACCTGGGTTGCGGGCACATCCCCGGTGGGAGATGTGCAGGAGGCAGCTGATGGATGTTTCTCTCTCATCGATGTTTCTGGCTCTCTATCTCTCTCCCTTCCTCTCTGTAAAAAATCAATAAAATATATAAAAACAAAAAACAAACAAAAAACTGCCCCAAGGTGAATGTCGGCAATTCTGGATCTGACAGGAGACTTCTTTCCTTTCATAATTGTAAGTAACTGCTCACACCGTTATATTGGCGGGGCCGCAAAAATATTCCTTGTGGGCCGCGAGTTTGACGTGCTTGGTGTAGGTCAAAGGTATGTGCTGTTGGAATGAGGCCTCTAAGCATCATGAGTATGTCTCCGTTTTGTGGGTGTGTCCTTGCATCTGTGAGGAAGCGCCGGAGAATCCTGGGCAAAGGGTAAGAGAGCAGTCCACACCCCTAGTTACGGGGACTGGTATGAAAATAGCGTCTCCGATGGTGACACAGTGGGGAATGAGTTGCCAGTAAACAGCTGAGGTGCTGTGGGGGAGGTGCAGGTCTGTGTGTCTTGTTGGGGGAACCTCTTTCCTCTCCAAGGTAAGGGGTGCTGGCAGCTGCTCCCCCACCCCCCACCCCCGGTGCGGCAACGTTTCCTGCTCCTAGATACTGTACATATGGCCAGCAGTGGTCAACACCTCTTCCTGCTCGCCCCACGCCAGGCTGGCCCTGTGGGTCCCCCTGCAGCTTCAGCTGCTCAGATCCCAATGCAGGAGAGGGGAGGAGGCTGGCGTTGGCCTGTCTTGCCCCTGGCTGGGGAAGAGGGGCTGTGGCAGCCCAGTTCCCTCCACTTACCCCTGAGTTAGGGGCGTGGAGTAGGGAAGGGGAGTCTGCATCACAGCCTCTGGGAGAAGCGCCTGGAGCCCTGGCTGCCCTGCCTTCTTCCCAGCCGGCCAGCCCACGGCTGAGCCCCTCACCCCGCGTGGGGCTGCTCCTCCTGGCTGCACTGGGCTGAGACCCTGGCCTGGGAAGCTCTGAGCTGCCCCCACCACCCTGGGGTCCCCGGCAGCCACCTGGGCCCTGACCTTCCCGAGGGCCGGGCCTTACCTGGCTTCCAGTGAGGCCTGGTCCCCCGAGGGGGCTGGCGCTGGCGCTGGCGGTGACCCGGCGCCGGTGGTGGGAGCTGCGTCTCCTCCGCTAGTGCCAGGCAGAGGCCCTGCGATGAGGCGGCCCTGGCCCAGCAGGCGGCCGAGCTGATGAGGCCAGGAGGCGGCCACACCTGTGCTCTTTGGACTCTGGTGGGTGGGGAGGCCTCTAGGCACCTGCCCACACCGCAGCCTGGACCGGAGGCGCCGTGTGCGCCCACAGGTGCCCCAGGCTCAGCCAGGGACCCTGCCTCCCAGCTCCCAGCTGGCCTGTGGCTTTAGGGAGGGGCTCCCCTGCCTCTGCCTTTTGGGCTCCTCTTCTGGGGCCCCCGGTCAGCATCAGGCACTTGGCCTGGGACAGAAGGAGAGCACACCCCGGGCCTCTGCGGTCAGGGGGCAGGCGCTGGAGGGGCACCCAGGCCTCGGGAAGCTGTGGGCTGGCATGTGCGCCTGTGTGCGCATGTGCTGCATGTGTGGATGCGTGACCGTGTGTGCCCAGGTGGTCCAGGACATGGACCACGTAGGAGCAGGCGGGTCCGGGCACTGGGACCTCGGCAGGCATGACATGGAGGGCTGAGAGTTCCTTCGGGCTGGGCCTACCTCATTCGTCCTTTCTTCTGTCCCCTCCCACCCAGCAGGGACCCCAACCCCATTCTCTTCTGCTCTCTTACCTCCCCCACCTACCCCATGCCCTCTGACCCTAGCTGGCTTCGGCAAAGATGGGAAAGCAGGCACGACAGATGCTGGGAGACGCCTTGGAACTCAGCATGAGTTCAGTATCTCCCTCCAAACAACCCAGCCTCCCCTCCCACGTTCCCTGCTCATCAGGGGCACCACACCCAGCCAAGCACCCAAGCAGGGCACTGGGACCATCCCGAGTCCCCCCTCAGCCCCCACTGCCCATCCTGTGAGCGTCACTCCCTTAGCAAGTTACTAAAAGCCCCCCCATTCCCCCCGAGGCACTGCAGCCTGAGCTCAGCCCCTCTGCCTGTGACTGTGGGGCACCCCAGCCTCCCTGCCTCCACTTTCGTTCTTTCTGGTCCTTCCTCCTCCTGCAGACGAGACCTCCCTGAACTGGAGGTTTGATCACTTCTCTCCGCTGCAGACAATCTTATTACCTCCAGGAAACCCAGAATCCCAGGAATTAGATTTCAAGGGATTTTCGAGACTTCCTTATGAAAGCTTTCAGTGGGACATTCTTTGGTAACTGGGACCGGGACCACTCGGGCATCATGTTGCCCCTGAACCGAGGCCTTGATAAATGAGTCAGCAGCGGCCCACGGAATCCTGAATAGAGGACGAGAGATTTGTATCCTCTCTAGTCGAATGTCATGAACAGCGCCTGGAATAGGAGTGTCGTGAACCCGAGGCTCCTGCCTCTGAGTCCCGCCTTATCTCTCCCCACGCCCTGTCCCCTGAACTTTGCCTTCAGCTGGAGGATGAGTGGTGATTCCCGGTGGAGTCATGCCTCGGGACCCAGGTCCCTGCTGTTCTCCCGGCCAGGAATGCCTGGCCCTTCCTTGCTCGTGGGAAACACCTAAGATGCTTCCATGTCTACACGTGAGTTCTGCCTCCTCCGGACGCCTCCCCACTGCCCGGGGCTGAGGGGCACTCTGGCCCGTGGCTCCCAGACAACCTGCACACATGTCCCTCCATTTTCATTTTTAAAATACAGTTTTAGCCCGGCTGGTGTGGCTCAGTGGTTGAGTGTCCATCCAGGAACCAGAGGGTTGCCTGTTTGATTCCCCGTCAGAGCACATGCCCAGGTCGTGGGCTCGAACCCCAGTGGAGGCCAAGCAGGAGGAGGTTGATCAATGATTCTCTTTCCCCCTCTTCCTTCCTCTCTCTGAAATCATTATATATGTAGGCGAGGAGGGAGGGGCCTGGCAGCAGGAGGAGGCTGGGGAGGGTGACTTGAGGGCCATGGTCAGGTCTCTGGGGCCTGTGTGCTGTCCGCGGACTGAGTTTTCAGGATCAAAACTGAGCCTTAGATGCTCCTGGGAACCACCCTTCCAGGGACTGGGAGGCCGGGCTGGAATTTCAGACTGACCCCCACCTGCCTAGCTCGCTCTGACCCCGTCTCCTGACCTCTCAAACCCCGAAGCCCGCACTGAGGCCTTGGTTCTCCTGCCTTTTCTAATCGCCGGCACCAGGATGCCATTCTAGATGTTTCTCAGTGACTTTGGGTCTGCCTCTCTCCAGTCCTGGACCCACGGGTGACTCCAACATGTGCCTCCTCCTCCTCCCTGCCCTCCATTCTGCACCCCACCCCTCATCCAGGGTGATAGGTGGTCCCAGGGGTCACGATTCACCCAGTCCCCCTCCCCCGCCTTGCCCAGACAGCCCTGGAGGAAAGGCCCTCAGGGAGGCCTGGAGAGCCCTTGACCGGAGGCCTGGACCTTGGACTGTGATTCAAGCAGCTTGCAGGCAAGCGGGCTGGAGAGGGCCGTGGGTCCGGCGAAGGCTGCGCAGGAGGGGCAGCCTCCGG